GTAAGTGGGACTTTGACCTCAGTGGGACTTACATCAGAGGAGATACACATAGGATTGTGCTGGCTGTCTTCTAGTGTTGGGATTCCAGTGCGAGAGAGAATTCCTTTCGGCATGTCTTTTTCCATGCTTATGGCTATCATGCCCGAAGGTGGTGCGGGACTGCACACCCTCCTCTGCCAATCCCACCCTCAACACCTGCCCCAGCTTGGACTCATACCCAGAGGGGGTTGCATATGAGCACCTGCTCATCCCATCTGAAAGCATGTCACATGTTCAGGATCCCGGCAAGACATTTGTGGGTTGTGATTGTGAGGAGCACCTACCCTGAGCAGCTGCTCACACATAGCAGGGCCCCACCACGCATTTGCCCACACTGAGTGTGTTAAGGGGAGGTTCAGTGGCATGGTCCGGGTCCTGGCCCACCTTCCATTGTGGCATAATGCATACATTATATAACGTGGGTGGCGCTGTGGTCTAAACCACCAAGCCTCTTAGGCTTGCCGATCAGAAGGTTGGTGGTTCGAATCCCCACGATGGAGTGAGCTCCCATGTCCCAGCGCCTGCCAACCTAGCAGTTCAAAAGTACACCAGTGCAAGTAGATAAATAGGTACCACTGTGGTGGGAGGCAAAAGGCATTTTGTCCCCACACAATTTTGCTCAGTGAACCACCCCATCAGCTGATACTGCTCTCAGAATGCAGTTCATTCCTTTAGATTCACAATGGCCAACTATGAGGCTCTATTGCACTTTTAAAAATCCCAGCTGTGGCAAGCAAGTGGCTACTTTTTGGTCAAGACATTTGCTTTAAAGTATTTGTAATCCGCCCTTCAACCTGCAGCTCCCAGGGTGTAGATACAGAGGCATCAGAATCAGTTAAAGGTATGAAGCATCGAGCAAAATACAATAATGAAAATCCACCATAAAACTGCAGGTCCATAAAAACAAATCTGCAGCAATGTACAGTCATTCTGATTTCCACCGGAGAAAAACACCATGCAGTGCTAGCAGTTGTTCCAGCTCATTTGTCGAGTCGAGAAAGGCTACTGGAGCTTTTCCTAGGAAATGGGCCTCTGGTTATAGACGAGTGCCAACCCTGTTCCATCAATATGCCTTGGTGCACGAAATTTTCCCGGGTCAGGAGATGATCCACGTTATGGATCACAAATCCCACCAGCCACCACTGGTGACCATGTAACTGGTCACTCGGCCGAAGCAAAGGGCAACATTTTCATATTCTGCCATTGCACTGTTTTGAACGTAAAACTATTTCATCCCAATAAGGGATCGCTTTCAATAAGTAACTATGATATGAAAATACATATACACTATTATTTTGAACAAATTTCATGGATAGGCTCTACCTTGTAACAGCGTGAGAGAAATCAATAGGATTTAGCCAAGCTAACTGTGCACATAATTGCAGCCTTCGTTTCGGGAGCGAGACATGAAATGCTGAGCTGCCAGGCTCTCCTCCGTCTTTCAATGAAATATTCAGTTGGGCCTCAATGAGCTTATCAAGCTACAAAAGAATTTTATTGTTGTTTACCGAGTCAGACTGTCCATTTTTGTTTGTTTTGATGCCTCCAGCTGTGTTAGATTGTCCTGAAAAGTACCTCGTTCACTTATCAGTTGATCTAAACCACCAGATATGCATGCCATAAATCCAGCTCACTCTATGGAGCTGCTCTTTTGCCATTTGCAATCAGAATATCATCATGTAAATTAGATTATGCTTTCTCTGCATGTTTTGGAGTTGTTCTAACCGTGCGGTAGCCAAACTCATCTGTGGAAAACAGAGACGGGCTCATGCTTTTCAGACATGGGCAGGGCATACTCAGATATAAGACACAGATTCGAGAATAGCTGAGAAACTTCCAGAAGCCCTACCAGATGCACATCTGAGGCACATCTTATACAACATCTTTACCCATTACAAAATTATTCTCCTAATTGCCAGTCATATCTCTGTGCTTGCTTAAAGAATACATGAAAATTACCCGTTCCTTATGACTCACAATGTACATTAGCTGTTTTCCCACATCACATGAGGTACATGGGCTATGACCCTAAATGCACCTGCCTGGGAGTTAGCCACATTGAACCCACAAGGACTTAATACAAAGCAGAAATTTGTAGGGACCAATATGGAAATTCATAGGAACCAATATGGAAACCAATAGGTGCTTCTGGGGACTCACTCACACCCACTCAATGCTAGAGAAGAGGTAGAAATTCATCCCAGTATGCATTTAAAGGTGAACTTTAAATGCTCACACATTTTGAAACAATATGCAGACCAAAACACACTTGTCCTTCAAAATTGCATCTCTCTGAATTTTGCAATGCAGCTCTCCGCCTAAGTAATGTTTGCAAAAACCCATATAACAAGGTAAAGCATGCATATAGATCCATATATTACTGAAAATAACGTTCCAAAATGGGAGGACATATTAGTGAGGGCCATTTAAAGACCAAGTTGTGTTGCTTCATGTAAAGCCATCTTAAGCTGTTATGCAATTAAGAGACTAGGTAAGAGCCTGTGTCATGTTTGGCTTCCTCACACTGTATACAGAGTGAGAAGGACACTGGTCCTCTGGATTAAGTGAGGGAAGGGCTTAAGGACTTACCTCACAAGTATGCGCAATATTTCACAACTGTTTTATCTCTCTTTTTAAACTAGCTAATAACACAGCTCAGGGGTTGCCAATCCTTTGGGGCCAGTGGGCAAATTTGCAACTTGGAAAGTGCTGTGGGTACCAGTGGTGGGGAAAAAACTGCTGCATATCCTCCGAATCTTGGGTCCCAAAACCGGGACATGCATATTCCTACCTGTTTTCCCACGTAAGTCATATGACCCACAAGAGATCACAGAGCCCCAAAGACATGATTTTTTCAGGGCCATGCTCGCACAGCACCCAAAACCATGCATTTTGGGGCGTCACGCTTTTTTTCTGGGCAAGATCTCAGTGTGAATTGTAAAAAAAGCCCCCAAGCTTTCCTTTTGGGAATTATAGGGACAGAACTACCCAAACTGTATAGAAATTTATTCATGTATACAACTACAGTGGCAAAAGAAGAATGGATACAAAAACGTATGGAATATGCAGAAATGGCGAAAGTTACTGGAAAAATAAGAAATCAAGATAACAAACTTTTTATAAAAGAATGGAAATGGTTTATTGAATATTTACAAATAAACTGTAAACAGATAAGAACATTGGCAGGATTGTTGTAATAACCTGCATTTTTATAAGAGTATATAGTTAAAGTAAATGAATAAATGAGCAAATTAAGTTAATTTGGATATGCAGAAAGTATTGAGAATAAATTTAAGAAACCACAGAAAGAGGGGGAAGGAAGTCAAGTTTTGAAATGTTAAAAGGATTGTAAAATTATTGAAATGTATAAAATTGAAAATAATAATAATAATAATAATAATAATAATAATAATAATAGATCTCAGTGTGAAATTGCAAGAGAGCACAGCACCCAAAATGGCTGCTGTGTTCTCAAATGAGAAAACAAGACATCTCGTTCTTTTCCGGGACACTTGCAGGGTATGCTGTTGTGGGAGTGTGGTACATCACAAGTTGACTGTCATGGGGGAAGGGTGGCATAACATGACACAAAATGGCTGCCACAAATAAAAGAGACCGGATCACAAAAAGGTGTGAGCATTCCCCCATTAGACAAATTGGGTCCTCCCTTAAAGAGGGCACATATTGCGGTGAAACCTGGACAACCGACACACTGTGTTGTGGGTGGGTTCAAGTGGTAAGCCACAACACTCAATTGGTAGGTCCCTCGAAGCTGTGTGCAATCTGGCCAATGGGACGCAGTCCAAACGGTTTGAGGGACCTATTTATGCCCATGCACGTGACCCAGAGCTTCCTCTTTCGGTGCGTGCATTCGGAACACCCGCCCACCTCTCCCTACTTTTAGAGCTTTGTTGTGCTTGACCTTGCTATGGCACCGTGTGTCATCTGTCGTTGGGACAGGGGCACAGCAGGAATTTCCCACACTTGGCTGATTGGCTGTTGCCATTTGGATTTCGCCTGCCGCGTAGCAAATCGTCACAACTTGTAAGGTTGCGAATAGGCTCTGGTTCAGGTGATAGGGATGGGAGAACGCTCTCGCCATCCCTATGTGAAGGGTATTCCGTTAAAGGAATCCAGGGACTCGACGGTTTGGTCAACCCCTGTGAGGGGATTGTGCCCATGCCTGAGTCCAGGGGGACATTTGGGTGGCGGAGTCAGCCCATGCCCGGCTTTCCACTTATCCAGGTGTTCACCCTTGGCTGACCTATGCTGGTGCCCTGGGTCAGCGCTACCTGCATGGCAGGGAGCTAGTCGAATCAGAGCCTATGCAACCAGTCACTTTCTGTAATCAATAAAGTTGTGGCCTAAATTCTGCCAAAAAGCAAACCTAAAACTTGAGTCAAGTGTGAATTTATTTAGGGGGGAGGTTTCTGGGCCTGAACACCCAAACACACCAGAAGGCAATCGCATCAGCTATCACTGCACTTGCTCACAGAAGGAAACACTTTGCACTTCTCTGTTCAGATTGGGAGGGTAGATCCTGGCATGCGATTAAATGTGTCTGAGTTCACATGTTCAATATATAGACATTGAGGCAGTACAAACAGGAACTGAACAGGATGAGCAAACAATCTTTGCATTGTGTTTGAGGAAATATATTTGAGGGGATTTATTTCTCAGGCACTGGAGGAGGGACACATAATTATAGACAGGAGTAGCAACCAATGTGCGGACTTTGGCTTGATACTCTTGTTTCCTAGTAAT